TTATAATTTGTTGGAGAAGTAAAATAAAGGAAATATTTATTTTAAGGGTAAATATGTCCATTTAATATATCAGGGGGGAAAAGTGCCACTTAAATAATATAGGGGGAAAAAGTGCTATAAGTATATAACATAGGGGGAAAAAGTGCCATTTCCCCCTTTTTTTTAAAAACGAAAATAACTATACTTTTATTTTCCTATAAATCAAACGTTTGTGTCATGTTAACGTCACCACCAGCACAAAGGTGACATGTGATCAATTTTTTATTTATTTTTAGTACTAGACATGTGATCAACCTTTTGTTGATAAGGAATTGACTAATCGAATTTTTTTAAATATTTTTATCCTCAAATATAATTTTTTTTTCGAATATATTATAGCCAGGTAAGAGAATTTCTTTACCTTTCCCAACATAAAAAGTTGAGAGGCTTATTAGTAAATAATATCCAAAATTTATAGTGGCAATTATATTTAAAATTTAAAAGTTTGACAATTTAATATAAAAAATATTTATAGTAATTATTTAATTATTATAATTTTTTTGTCAAGTCATGAGATGTCCTCAGTAAGTCCTAATTGTAAGAGACACCTTTAACTCCCAACATATCTTAAAAGATGAGAGTGTACCGTCACTCACCAACCAAACTGGTTATTCAATTATTATATTTGACCCCAAAAAAAAAAAAACAAATTTGGCATGATTCGGTCACGCTATGTTGACTCTCGGTTGACATGAAAATTGTTTTAAAAAATTACACTACATACATACATATAAAAAATTACTCTAGCCACACAATTAGTGAAAAGAAAAGATTGTGAGTCTGAAAGTCAACACGTTCCCACGACTCTGTAGAACAAATTACAGACAAGAGAAAGTTGATCAGAAAAAATTGGAGCTGAAAAATTAAATTGACGACCACAATGTTGCCGGTTCAATTAACGAGGATTGACTGAAATTATTTTTAATTTAATTTTTTGTAGTATTAAGTTTAATATTAGTATACAAAATTTATATATTTAGAAACTACACTAAAAGTACTATTAAACACAAATAATCAAATTTAAAAATAAGTAAAAAAAAATCATAAAGAAAAGTCTAAAGTGTCATCCCGCACCATGAATCAGTTCTGATTATTTATGCCGCACCATGATCTTTAATGAGTGATATTTCGTGCTATAAACCATAATTTTTTTTTTCGTCTAGGACTTTTACAGGTTTCATACAGGTTACCGATAATAATATTGCTGACATGACATTTTTTTATTATTATTTTTTTTTTTTGGTATTTTTCTTCTTTCACCTTCGTATTATAATTTTTTTCGTATTGTTCTTTTTACCAAATTTCGCAGAGCAGGCTTGATCGGAGAAACGAGAAGCGAAAAAACGCAGACCAGGCCTATATGTTTAGGAAAGAAGGAAAATATGAAAACTAAAAAAAATTAATACGAAGGCGAAATAAGAAAAATACCAAAAAAACTAATAAAAAATTTTATGCCAGCAATATTATTACCAGTAACCTGTAGGAAACTTGTAAAAAGTTCTAGACGAAAAAAAAATGGTTTATGGCTCTAAACATCACTTATTAAAGATCATTGTACGTCATGAATAATCAGGAATGGTTCATGGTGCGGGATGACACTTTAGCCTAAAGAAAATAAACAATGAAGAAAGAGTTGATTTGACCAATGAATAATAAGTATGACAGATAAAATGGAACCGAGAAAGTAATATATATATTATATGGCCGGTGGCCACACCGCCATAGGCCATTTGGCCTTTTTTTTTTTTTTAAATTTTACAATTCTGGAATCGGAACCAGCGGTTCCAATTCTAGATTTTCTTAAATCGAAACCGTACAAGTGGTTTTGGTTCCGATTCCGATTAGGTTATAACAGTACATGGTTCGGTTCAAATCGTTCGGTTCGAACCGAACCGTGATTATATCTAATTATTTGTATACATAATGCACATTATTTGAAAGTACATGATTTTTTTTTATATATTATCAAATAATTTACATTCAGTACACAAATAATATACTTTTAGTATATTAAAAATGTATATTGCATTTGTGGTCCACACAACTATGTGGACCATGGTCAACACAATAATTTTTTTTTTTAATATATAAGCTGGAAGGGATGGTCAACACAATAATTTGCCCAGACTTTGGCCACCTCTAAAAATTTCATCTTCTAATAATTATAATATATCATTTTTCAATTATATAATTTTATTATCTATTTTTTAATTAGACATTTTGTATATAAAGAAAAAAGATCAATCCAAATAAAAATGGTGGCATGTGCTGCTTCTTTTCAAGCGTGTGAGGGTCAACGCTCAGACACACTTTTGTTCCCCTCTTGACTCGAAAAGTTTACTAGGGAGCATGTGTTTATGGGGGCAAATTATGCTATGGACATGTGTCCATCATATGCATGGTGGACACACTGTACATTCATAATTTTTATACTGTACATTCATAATTTTTATGCTGTAGATTAATAATTTCTAAGCTGTAGATTCATAAAATTTATAATGTAGATTCATAATTTCTATACTGCACATTCATAATTTATGTACGGTAGATTCATAATTTTTGTAATGTAGACTCATAATTTCTAAACTGTATAGTTATCAAATTATGAACATATAGTTATCAAATTATGAATCTACAGTACAGAAATTATGAATCTACATTATAAAAATTATGAATCTACAGTATAGAAATTATGAATCTACAGGACAGAAATTATAAATGTGCAGTATAGAAATTATGAATATACATTATAAATTTTATGAATCTACAGTATAAAAAATTTATGAATCTACAGTATAGAAATTATAAATGTACAGCGTGTCCATCATGCATACGGTGAACACGAGTCCAGAACATAACGCTTCGTGTTTATGGTGTGGGGCCGTAAAATCCGGTTACACATCACCTTGTGGGTCCACCATGGTCCACACAATAATTTACCAGAACTTTGGCCACCTCTAAATTTTTTATCTCTTAATAATTATAATATATCATTTTTAAATTATATAATTTTATTATCTATGTTTTAATTAGACATTTGTTATATAAAGAAAAAAGATCAATCCAAATAAAAATGGTGGCATGTGCTGCTTCTTCTCAAGCGTGTGAGGGCAACGCTCAGACACACTTTTGTGCCTGTCTTGACACGAAAAATTTACTAGCTAGCATGTGTTTATTGCGTGGGGTCGTAAAGTTTGGTTACACATCACTTTGTGGGTCTACACAATAATTTACCCGGATTTTGGCCACCTCTAAAATTTTTATCTCTTAATAATTATAATATATCATTTTTAAATTATATAATTTTATTATCTATGTTTTAATTAGACATTTTTTATATAAAGAAAAAAAGATCAATCCAAATAAAAATGGTGGCACGTGCTGCTTTTTTCAAGCGTGTGAGGGTCGCGAGCCGTAATGCTTAGACACACTTTGACTCGAAAAGTTTACTAGGGGGCATGTGTTTCGGGTGTGGGGCCGTAAAATCTGGTTACATATCACCTTGTGGGTCCCGGATACTATTAACGATGAATTGACTTCGTTAGTAAATACGGGTGAGCACTGCGCCTCCGCGTTGCAGACTTGACGGTGATAGCCGTTAGGCGGTGCCACGGTGGACGAAAAACGCGAGTGTGCTTGTGTCGTGTTGCATGTAAACAGATTTGCGGGACCCGCGTTTCACAAACGTATTTTTGACAATCCATTTTTTCAACTGTACAAGGAAAGAAGAGTTAATGCAGCAAAATGCAAATATGCAATGCACTCTCCAATTGATTACTATGCCCAATTGGAACCTATGAGCACTAGTGACCACTCATTTAGAACGATAATCGGAATGCCATCAAAGTATAGAACATATACTACCTTGTAAAGAATTACCAGTATTAGTATTTTTTTAAAAAATGTAAAAAAATATATTTATTTGGTAATTGAAGAAATTTTTTTTTTGAGACATGAAAAACTAAAAAAAATAGAAAAAGAAAAAGAAAACAAACAATACACTTGCATTAAAGATAGTAATTTTGAAGATGGGGTTAATTTGCGATTTGTTCCGTTAAATTACATAGCAAAATAGGGATTTCAATAATTAATGAACCAATTTGAAAATTAATATTTTTTTTTGAAAATTTTTGTTATGTTTAACATTTTTTAAAAAAATTTTAAACGATAGAAAAAGAATTATATCACGATAAAATAGTAAATGTACATCTATTTTACACTTTTTTTTTTTTTTGAGAAAACATCTATTTTACCTTTTTTTGTTTTCATTTCTAAGATTTTTATTTGGATGAAAAAAAAATGTTTGTTTCATCTAAACTTTAGTTCATTTACAAGTTTTACTAGCATGATCAAGTTTCAGTATTAAGTTATGAATAAATTAAAGTTTATACAAAACAATAAACTTTCACGCAAGTAAAAATTTTAGAAATAGAAAAATAAATTCCACCAAAATTGATTATTTTTTTACCATTCAAAAAAAAAAAAAAAGGAAAACTATTCCACATAACGGCATAACAAAAATTTTAAATGTGTTAATTTCTGAATGTTATAGAAAATAATACATTTTCACGCAAGTGAAAATTTCAGAAATGAAAAACAAATTTCCCAAAATTGATTATTTTTCTACCATTAAAAAAAAAAGAAAAGGAAAACGTACTATTCCGCATAACAAAATTCCTAAATGTGTTAATTTCCAAATTGATAGTTTGACTATTGAAATTGAAATAATTTACAAAATGGTTTTTCGACTACAAAAAAAAAATTAATTTTCTCTAATTTAATAATTTTTGTAACGGAGTATCAAATTAAATTAGGTACAAATCGGATTATGATTTTTCAAAGTTAAAACTATTTTTGATTAATTTTTAAACTATACCCCACAAGCAATATAGACTATAGTGGTGTATGTATCTTCTCTATATCTCTATATAAGTACACAACTTGTTCGCTAACAACAAGAAATTATCACAGACAGTTCCAGCACAGTGACTCAGTGAGCATATAGTAGTTGAAATGTCCGGCCTCAACCCCGCCACCGCCGGCGAGAAGACAGCGCCGTCCGGGGGGAGATGTCCGGTGGAGGAGGTAGCCCTGGTGGTGCCGGAGACCGACGACCCCACACTCCCAGTCTTGACTTTCCGGGCGTGGTTTCTGGGCATAACCTCATGCATAATCTTGATCTTCCTCAACACTTTCTTCATATACAGGACCCAGCCGCTCTCCATCTCCGCCATCCTCATGCAGATTTCGGTGCTCCCCATCGGGAAATTCATGGCGGCGACGCTGCCGGAGAGGAAGTTCGCGCCGTTTGGGCGGTGGAGCTTTACTCTCAATCCGGGCCCCTTCAACATCAAGGAGCACGTGATTATCACTGTCATGGCTAATTGCGGCGTTTCCCCTGGCGGAGGTGATGCTTACTCCATTGGAGCTATTACTATAATGAAAGCTTATTATAAGCAGGCTTTGAGCTTCCTTTGTGGCCTTATTATTGTCTTGACCACTCAGGTATACTCTTTTCTATTTTTTTATTCCAATTTCTGTATATATTTTATTCAAAATCAATCCCTATCAAATATCTTATGATTAAATCAGATTTTATATATACTAGTGTTTTCCAGTCCAGTGTTACTCTCAAGAATATGAGTTTGTCTTATACTAGGAATAGGAGTGAAACGATAAACATACTAAATATAAAGAGTGTCAAATTTGGCAACTGTACATAATGAATTGTTGTTGTAAAATCTCAGTTTTTGAATGTTGTATGATTGGTGTTTATGCAGCTTATTGGGTATGGATGGGCTGGAGTGTTGAGGAGGTATCTTGTTGATCCGGTAGATATGTGGTGGCCTTCAAACCTTGCTCAAGTGTCTTTATTCAGGTCTGAATTGAATTTTCTCCCTAGCTATTTGGTATTAAACTGGTCTTATTTGATTTAATGGATTGCGGGCGGTTTAGCATAGAACCAACCGTGTAAGATCGAATAGGTGGGGCGTTGAAGTTACTCAAATCCGTGAGTTGAGTTTCTACTTTTTTGATTGATTGATTGGGGGTTTGGGGGTGGGACTACTTTTCCAACAACGAGAATCAAATTCTTTTCCAATTGTATGGGGGACTGGTGGGTTTCATTCATTGCACATACAAGTTGGTATGGAAGAACTTGATTTCTTCATTCTCTTGCCTAGTGGATGCTTTATTCTCCCACAAGAATTCTGTGGTCGTGAAAAGAGAATGAACAAAGTTCAATTCTTTGATATTTTACACAAAGATAAAAATAACATGCTTTTCTTTAATGGAAATGCAACCGAATTTTAACTATAGAGTTTAGAAACGTGCAATGTTATGGCCCGGGATATTAGGATCACGTCACAGGCCTAGAAACTTAAGAATGAAAAATGAAGCTTTTCTGGAGTGCTGCAACCACTATGGTTGTATCATTCAGGCAGGCCTTATTATTATTATTATTATTATTTTACTACTTGGCCTCGTATTTATTTTCTAATCTTTTGTGTTCATCAGAGCACTCCATGAAACGGAGGTGAAATCAAGCGGCATGACAAGGATGCGGTTTTTCCTTCTAGTTATGGGGGCAAGTTTCGTTTACTATACATTACCGGGTTACTTGTTTCCAATTTTGACCTTCTTCTCGTGGGTGTGCTGGGTGTGGCCTCGTAGTATTACAGCTCAGCAAATCGGCTCTTCTTACCATGGACTAGGCGTGGGTGGGTTCACACTCGATTGGGCTGGGATTTCAGCTTACCACGGGAGCCCTTTGGTGTCACCTTGGACCGCGATTCTGAATGTTGCTGTCGGTTTTGTTATGTTCATATACATAATCGTCCCTCTGTGCTACTGGAAATACAACACTTTTGATGCCCGAAAATTCCCTATATTCTCAAATCAACTCTTCACGTCCACTGGCCACAAATACGATACTTTTAAAGTCTTGACCCCTCAATTCGATTTGAACGTTCCTGCTTATGAGAGTTACAGCAAGCTCTACCTTAGCCCTCTTTTCGCCCTATCTATTGGATCGGGATTTGCAAGGTTTACAGCAACTTTGACACATGTCGCACTGTTCAATGGCAGGTTGGGTTCGTTTTATTGATGAATTTGTATTTATATAAATATAAACTAGTATTACAATATTAATGATTGAAAAATGGTTTTCTTCTCTTTGTTAGTGATATTTGGAAGCAAACGAGATCTGCTGCACAGAACGTCAAAATGGATATACACACGAAATTAATGAAGACTTACAAACAAGTTCCCGAATGGTGGTTCTTGATTTTACTGCTAGGAGCCACTTGCCTTTCTCTTCTTATGTGCTTTGTTTGGAAAGAAACGGTTCAGATTCCGTGGTGGGCATTACTCTTTGCGTTTGCTCTAGCTTTTGTCGTTTCTCTCCCTATAGGTGTTATTCAAGCAACAACAAACCAGGTAAAGAGAGACGTACTGAATTTTGCAATTATAATAAAAAAGACACTTAATTGTGTGGTGAATGAAGTTAATTAGTTTTCATTAATTTTCAGCAACCGGGGTATGACATCATTGCACAGTTCATCATTGGGTATATCCTTCCGGGAAAACCTATTGCTAACTTGCTTTTCAAAATTTACGGGAGAATCAGCACTATTCACACTCTCTCGTTCTTAGCTGACCTTAAACTCGGGCACTATATGAAAATTCCTCCACGCAGCATGTATGTAGCTCAGGTAATTAAGTATTCCCTTTGTCCCATTTTATCTGTCCTACTTACTATTCATTGGTCAAACCACATCTTTCTTCTTTGTTTATTTTCTTTAGTATTTTTTAAAATTTGAATTTTTTTTTTTGTGTTTAATAGTACTTTTAGTGTAGTTTCTAAATATATAAATTTTGTATACTAATGCTAAATTTAATATTATGAAAAATTGGATTAAAAATAACTTCAGTCAAGTCTCGTTAACCGAACCAGACACATAAAATGGCTCTTAATTACGGTCTCTATATTGTTTCAGCTGGTGGGAACACTCGTATCTGGTGTAGTCAACCTTGCGGTGTGCTGGTGGATGCTAGGTAGCATCGAAAACATTTGTGACACCGACGCACTTAGCCCCAACAGCCCATGGACGTGTCCCAAGTTCCGAGTCACTTTTGACGCGTCTGTGATCTGGGGACTAATCGGGCCAAAACGGCTGTTTGGACCGGGAGGGTTGTATAGGAACCTGGTTTGGCTATTCCTGATTGGAGCGGTGTTGCCCGTGCCTGTTTGGGTACTCAGCAAAATGTTCCCAGAAAAGAAATGGATTCCTCTGATCAACATTCCCGTCATCTCGTACGGGTTTGCGGGAATGCCGCCCGCAACTCCCACCAACATAGGTAGCTGGATTGTGACTGGGCTCATATTCAACTACTTTGTGTTCAAGTACAGGAAAGGGTGGTGGCAAAAGTACAATTACGTCCTCTCGGCTGCCCTCGATGCGGGTACGGCTTTCATGGCCGTGCTGCTGTTTTTCGCGTTACAGAACGAGCATAAAGAGTTGAAATGGTGGGGGTCGGAGCTCGACCACTGCCCTCTCGCATCTTGCCCAACGGCTCCTGGGATTGTGGTTGAAGGTTGCCCAGTTTTCAAGTAGGCAAGTAGCAGAGCAGCCATGTAAATTGTTTCATACAATTTCTTACATTGCATCTTATTAGGGTATTAGTGAATCTATTTGTTAAACACAATAATATATGCGCAACAGTTTTGGAATAACCACTTGGATTTTATATTCTGTGGCAACTTTGGTTTGCAAATTATTATTTTACCAATACAACAGCGTTTTTGAGCCTCTCTTGACTCTTAGTATTAGATATTCTGACTAATGCCAATTCCAAGCTCCCCTTGATAATAGATATTCTTTGAGTGTTTGGACCCTTCATTATGTGTTTGGACCCAACCTTGGTAATAGATATTCCTTGTGACTAGTGAATAGACCAAACATTATTAGATAACCATGGTACATACAACTGTGTGGACTATAAATAAAACGTACATTTAAAATGTTAAATAGACTACTGAATTTGTATAATTTGTGCAATTGAACTATCAAACAAAAATATGTGCAATTAGAACATTAAACCTGTAAAATATGTGCAAACAAAAATGTGCAATTAGAACATTAAACCTGTAAAAAATGTGCAATTATCATTTTTTACTTGTTGCTCCCAAGTTAAACAAGTTAAATTGATGACTTGACATTTAATATAATTAATTTTAATATGTTAATGCTTACATGGATGATTATGTGGCATTTAATATAATTGTGGGTTTTCTTGTAACCCCCCAAAAAAAGGACTAATAGCGTTTTTGAACCTCTCTTAGAGCATCTACATCAAAGGAGAATTTGGGGAGCATGCACAACTTTTAAGAAATATAGAACTTACATGGAGGAGAGAGGTATATGTGAGAGAAAATTGGGTTGCTCCTGCAAAGAGTTGGAATAATTCAGAATTTGTGGGACCCACCACAATTTATACCAATCGAGGCTGTCACCATTGTGCCCAGCGGACGCGTGCAGTCGCGTCAGGACAATCATAAAGTATTATTATTTTTTTTATTTTAAAATTCAGTTTTCCTTTTTTTTTTTTTTTTTTTTTTTTTTTTCTCTTCCCTCACATCTTATCTTCCCTAATCACTTACATTCTCCTTCTAATATTCCCAACTGATAATGATGCTCTTAGTATTATATATTTTGACTAATGGCAATCCAAGGCAAATTATACTGTGGACCGTGGTCCAGGCATTAAATATGCATTGCAGTTTCATTTCAACACAACTACAATATCATTTTGATATAACTACAATTTTGCTTGACAATATACACTTAAATATGTGAAATTGTTATTTAGTTTCATTTTGTATACACTGCAGTTTCATTTCAACACAACTACAGTTTCATTTCAATTCAATTGCAGTTTCAGTTGATAATATAAAAATAATATGTGAGACATTGTCAGTTTAAATACATTATAGTGTGTCGTTTTGGACCATAGTCTATAAAGCTTTGTGGACCACGGTCGACATTATAATTGGTGCAATTCCAAGCTCCCCTTGATAATAGATATTCTTTTGAGTAATGATCACACACTTTCTTTTCGGACCCTTCATTATGTGTTTGGACCCAACCTTGGTAATATATATTCCTTGTGACTAGTGAATAGAATAAACATTATTACATGAACCATAGTCCATACAATTGTATGGATATAAATAAAAAATTCATTTTTAATATATTAAAAGTATATTATTTGTATATAAAAGGTATATTATTTGAGTATTAAAAATAAATTATTTTATATACTATCAAATAATCTACATTCAGTATAAAAATAATGTATTTTTAATATATTAAAAATGTAATTTATATTCATAGTCACACAACTATGCAGACCATGATCCACATAATAATTTACCTGAATGACTCAATCTATCGTAACAAAAGGAACTTTTTTTTTTTTTTTAATTGTAAACCATGCAAAATGAATTTTGCTTGAATTTTCAGGGTAAAATACTCTTTCCAAGCAATAAGGAATAGAAATTGCAGTATGGATTAAAGCCCTGAGAAAATGTTATTTTATGTACATTTTTTCTTCCACCAAAAGACACATTATCAAGTAAGAACTTAGTATCAGATTCCCATGCAAATGGTTCAAGACACAAACATGGACCAAGTGTTTTCTTTATAATATGCTTGAAAGCAACATTTTTGACTTGGAAATGAAAAAAAAAAAAGTCAAAAAAAAAAAAAAAAAAGTGCCACCATTCAAGATACCACATCTAAAGAGAAATAGAGCGTGGGATAGGGGCAACATGAATGCACAAAGGGTAAATGCACCTCGCTATCAGGCATTTGAATGCTGAATGGAATTTCAACAAATTTTGCTTTTTTTTTTTATCTTTTTTTTTTTTTTTCCCAGTGTTGTTGCCAGCCAGTAGTAGTAGTAGTGTGACAATTGCAGATGATGATGGATCGATCGAAGCTGAGGCTCGGGATTCTCATCTCTCTATGGACTTGTACAGCACCACGGTGACGTATTTGGAGAGGAACCTATGAGTAGAACCGAGTGCAACCACTGACGGGGTGCTTCTACCCCTCTGCATGTAGAGATGATTAAGCACAACGTGCTGAGGCCTCGAGAACGGAGGCGGGATTTCTGAATGAGATGATGGAACATTAAGCAAGGTTAACTGAAGATGGGGAGGTACTAAAGGCGGCTCCTTGGCATAGTCCTCGGCTCCAAGTTGGAGGCTGCTGTAACTTGAATCCGGGGATAGAGGAGGCTCAAAGCCAGAGATGCTCTGAATGTCTTCCGGAACATACTCCTGCACCAGCATACACTTCAGTAAGCACCATATCGTTTATAAAAATTAAAACAACACAATACCCATTCACACATCATCGGCAGGCCGGCCTTCATACCAAACAAATCTGGATGGCAGGGGATTACTCTAAGAAAATATAAAAAGTATAAATCCAATTCAAGAATTATCCATGTTTTCTTACTGAAGACCAAACTTGTCATTAGCAAACTAGTATGGTATGGAGTAGATATTTATTCCGGCATAAGGATAACCATGGTTGCAATAGGCGCTAGTCGGGCAGCGCCTAGGCGGGCGCCAAAATAATACTGGCAGACTTGCAGTTTGACAATTTTAATGATGTTGTTTTCAACATTCAATCAAATAACATATCCAAATAAATAAAATAATGACAATTCATAAGTCATAACATCAAAACAATATTAAAAAATAAAAATACTCAAATACTTCAATCATCCAAAGATTCAAAGTATCAAACTAGTCTACGGATGGCTGGACCAGACGACATCGGTCAAAATTGACCGACTCGGCCGATTTTGACCAATTTCAGCCGATTTTGACTGATTTCGCCGCCTAGCCGGCCGGCCGATTTTTGGGCGCCTCACAGTGAAAGCAGAATGGCCTAGGGGCGCCTAGGCGCCGCCTAGGCCGATTTTTACAACACTGAGGATAACAACTACAAACAAAAGTTTGGAGAAAAATGCTGTGCCAAAAAGGATCAATCAGTTTGTGCACAATCCCACCCCCTCTAAACAAAGGGGAGGGGGGGGGGGGGGTGGGGAATGAAAAAATATCATTTATGTAGTTAGCCCAAAAAAGAAATATAATCAACAAATAAATGGCTCTTCACTGACTTTCAATCTCACATAGTCGCATGCAAACCAACCATCACTTCCACTACAACACAAAATAATCTTCACAACAGAAAGCAGAACCAGTTATTTCTGCTACCAATATACCAACACACATTCAGTAATACTATATGTTTTATACGTAACGTGCAAACTTAGTACCAGTTTTGCTGTAGACTAACAGTCTGAGGATAAATGTAATATCAACTGGTAAACCATTACCTTAAGTTTACGAAAAAACAAAAACCCAACAACAACAACAAAACATGACATTAGACTAACAGATGCATTGATGGGAAGAAGGTATCTGCAGATTTTAACAGCAGAATAGCATAATATTGAACTGAGCAAAATCAATACCTTTTCTTGATTAGAAACAACTACAAAGATTTGGAAACGGATATTGACCATTAACTCTATCAGAAATCTCAAGTTCCATTCCATTCCAAAAAAAAAAAAAAGAAAAAAATTTACCTGCAAATCCAAGACATTGTAATAATTTCCAGCTTCATCAGTGATCCACGCGACATCAGGGGAATACCTCCATTGTCCATCAACTATAAACCTATACTGATAAACTCCTGAAGGGAGCACTTTCATAATGGTGAAATCTTTTCCTGACCTCTGCAAAGGCTTCCTGATAAAAGAGTTTCTAGAGATCTAAGTCCCTTGCAAACATCAAGTGTCAGATCCAAATGAAAATAAATGAGGAAATAGATTGACACACACATATATACCTTGTTTTCCAATCATCCCATGACCCCTCCACAGAAACTTCCTTGCCACCATGGCCCCAGATTATCACTGTCGGAACCCTTTGCTCATCATACATGTCATCATATCCAGATGCAGTTTGCATCCATGGAGGGTTTGGGATGTGCAACTCATCAGGTCTTTGTAGAGGAACCACTGGCATCTAAAGCAACCAATTGCCAAAACCAGAATGCACAGCATCAATCTTTTGCATTATCATTTTATATTCAAGCAATTGATCCTTAGTTTAAAATTTCAAATTTTGATTAGCTGAACTATATCAAAGGGGTTAATGAAATTTGAAATTTCGGCATACTCACCTCTTCTAAACTGGCTAGCTAAACATAGTTGAGGATTAACATCAAGCCAATACCCCTATGAAAGATCAACTACAGTACTTACTTGATATAAAGATAGAAGAAGAAGGTGAATGATTGTGCATAGTCCAATACAGACTTCAAATTATATCATACACAGTCAAAATTTCACTGGATTTCATCAGAAATTCCCTAATTCATTCCAAAACCGAAACAAAAATAAATTCATAAATTTCACTTTTTCTAATTCCAACCATTTCTAGTTTTTCACTCGACTAATCCAACAACTTCAAATTACAGACTTGTATCATTTTTCTTTCCCAGATCTAACCCAAGTTCTAACCACTCCGGCGTAAAATTCAAAAATTACTGTACAGCAAAACGGTTGAAAAATACGAAGTAGTATTTACACTAATTCTTTACAAATCCCATTTCAAAACCTTCTACCCGTAAACAAATTCATCAAAAACTTTGTAATTTTACATCTAATTCCCAAAGAAAAAGGCTATTTTACTTTATTAAACACTGATTTCAAACGAAAAATTACTGCAATTATATACATATAATAAACATCCCGTATAAAAAAATAGTTTTACATTAACAGACCTGAGGTCGGAACATCAAAGGGGAACGAGAAGCCCTAGGGCTGGAAGGTGGAGACTGACCCATGAACTCACCATCCATCTGCGCACTATCCGGCGCCTCACCGCCACCGCCGGCGGCGCCACTCTCTTCAGCTCTGGACGGGCTGTTGCCACCACCGCCATCTTCTTCTCTCCCATTAACATTCCCCATTTTTATTCAGCACGAAAAAGCGACTCGCCTTAGAATCTAAACAATCAGATTCCTTCTTGTTGTATATATATAAATATATACTATACAGCATACAGTATTACATATACTTCTCCGTCTCATTTAATAATGACATCAGACCAATATATAGAGAGATATCGAAAAAGTAACTTTTGTTAATAGATTTTGATCAGATCAAAATAAACAAAAAGATGTTTAATCAGATCAAAACCTGTTTTATGTAAATTATATGACTTCTACACCGAGCTTGATTAAATCAAAGGTTAATAAGAATCAAACTCGTGATTATATAAAAATTATGTTCCATTTATTTGACCAATCATTTCTTTTATTAAATTTAAATAGAATAATATAAATAAAACAACAATGACAAAAATTTCAATAGTTATTGTGTGGATCACAGTCTAAAAATGATATCGTTAACACAATTTTTTGTTAGTAACATACATTTTTATAACTCATAATGTACATTATTCTAAAGCATAATATACATTATATGATCTTGAACAACGAGCTTGATTAAACGGTTAATAAGAATCAAACTTATGATTATTGAAAATTATGTTTCATCTATTTGATCAATCATTTCTTATATTAAACTTAATTGGATAAGTAAATAAAAAAAACAATGACAAAAACTTCAATAGTTATTGTGTGGACTATAATATAAAAAAAACGTCATTTAGCATAATTTTTTTTTCACGCGGTCCACTGCAACATGCATTTTTTTATAATTCATAATGCACATTATTCTAAAGCATAATATATATTATATGATCTTGAACAACGGGGTTGATCAAAAGGTTAATAAGATCAAACTCGTGATTATATGAAAATTATGTTCCATTTGTTAGGACTTGTATTTATGGTACACTAGAATTCTATTCTTGTATGTGTTAGACTAGGACTCTAGTCTTACTTCCTTGCTTATATATCCTTTGTATTGTGTCTGATTATGATGATTAATATACAACTACATTCATCTGGTATCAAGAGACCCGGGTTCTTTATTATTCTTTTCCTTTTTTTTTTTTTTTCCCGATGGATCAGCAAGCTAGTAACGCCGCTGTCTCTTCCGAACGAACTGTTTCGGTGAAGCTCACGTCCCGGAACTATTTGTTCTGGCGGACTCAATTGGTGCCTTTTCTCAGTGGTCAAGGTTTGTTTGGCTTCGTTGATGGCACGTATCCCTGTCCTTCTGTCGCTCCCGCTGTCGCTGTTTCTCCTGGTGCTACCGTGGTCGAATCTGTTGTGCCCGATCCATCAGTTGCTCGTGCGGCATGGTTGCAGCAAGACCAAGCAGTCCTTTCAAAGCTAATCTCTTCTCTCTCTAAGGAGGTTATGCATCATGCGGTAGGTCGGACGACGTCTCGGCAGGTTTGGACGGCGATTGAGCGTGCTCTTGGTTCGACCACTCGTGCCCGTATTCTTCGTTTGCTTGGACAATTGCAGAATCTTCGGCAAGGGACTGAGTCCGTGGCCGACTACCTTGGTCGTGCGCAGGTCATAGTCGAGGACTTAGCCTTGGGCGGTCGCCATGTTTCGTTGGATGACAAGAATTTGTATGTTTTCCGTGGATTGCGCTCGGAGTATCGGCCTCTTGCAGCGACTCTGACGACGGGTGAGCCGGTCTCTCTTACTGAACTCGCGGATTTTTTGGTCGCGCACGAGTTTATATGTGCGGATGATGGTGCTGTCGGAGGGCCTTCTGGTCCGGCAGCGATGGCTGTACAGCGTGGCGGCAGGTCTGGTGGCCGAAATGGTCGGGGTGGCCGTGGCCGTGGGCAGCGTGGCCGCGGTCGTGGTTAGAATCGCGGTGGTGGTGGCCGCTCGTATGTTCCGCGGTGTCAGTTGTGTAATGCCCAGGGACACACTGCCCATACATGTTTTCTGCGTTATGCTCATGATCCGGCTCCTCAGGCTCATATGGCTTTTCAGACTGGTGATACTGATTCTGCGGGTCCTCATGATTGGTTCCCCGACACCGGTGCTACGGATCACGCCACCCCGGATGCCTCGGTGATGTCCTCTATGGCTGAGTATACTGGCCCGGACACTCTCCGTGTTGGAAACGGTGCAGGTTTGCCTATTTCTGGTCTTGGTCATGCTTCGTTAACCACTGCGTCTCGTTCGTTTAATCTATCTAATGTCTTACATGTTCCCTCTCTTTCTGCGTTATTATTGTCTGTTCGTAAGTTTGCCACCGATAATAATGTCTTTTTCGAATTTCACCCTGATGTTTTCTTTGTGAAGGATCCTTCAATCAAGGCGGTCCTGTATGAAGGCCGCACCTCTGGTGGGTCTGTATATGTGGCCAATGTCGCCTTCCGCGTCTGCTGCGTTCTTTGCGTCTCGGGCATTTCCTTTGGTTTGGCACAAGCGTCTTGGACATCCACACCATCGCGTCTTGGGTCAAGTATTGAAGTCTTGTCCTGTTAGTTCGTCTGTTAAAAGTATTAGTTCGTCTTTGTGTTCGCCTTGTCAGCTTGGGAAGTCCTCTCGATTTCCCTTGCCTCGTGTTAGTTCGTCGAGTCGTCATGTACTTGATTTGATTTATACCGATATATGGGGCCCTGCGCCTGTTACATCTGTTAGTGGTTATCGATATTTTGTTTTATTCGTTGATGACTTCTCTCGCTTCACTTGGTTGTTTCCTATGCGTGCAAAAACGGACTTATATGATATTTTTGCTCGTTTTCGTCTTATGGTTGAGCGGTCCTTTTCCTGCAAAATTAAGTGTCTACAATCGGATTTAGGGGGAGAGTATAAAAAAATTACATACTACTCTCACTAGTCTTGGTATTGTTCATCGTCAATCCTGTGCCTATACGCATGAGCAGAATGGCCGGGTTGAACGAAAACATCGTCATGTCGTTGAGACTGGCCTTGCTTTAATGGCTCAAGCTTCTGTTCCCATTCGGTTTTGGGAGTATGCTTTTGAGGTCGCCGTTTATCTTATTAATAGGTTGCCTACGTCTGTTCTGGGGAATTCTAGTCCGTATCAATTGCTATATCGCTCTACTCCCTCCTATTCATTTTTGCGAGTCTTCGGATGTCTTTGTTTTCCATTACTACGCCCGTATAATAAAAATAAACTTGAGTATCGATCGGCTCCCTGTGTGTTTTTAGGGTATCCTGATTCTTTTCGTGGTTATCGTTGCATGAATCTTGCCACTAATAAGGTTTTTGTTTGCCGACACGTGAGATTTGATGAATCTGTGTTCCCTTTTGTCTCTGCTTCTGCTCCGCAGGTTCTGCCCTCTGAGAATGCATCTGATCCGTGGTCTGTGGCTCCTGTGCGTATTGCCTCCTGTTTGCCGTCATTATCTGTTACGGCGGCTCCACGTGCAGCTCAGGAGACGGGTGTTGTGCCTGATTTGCGGCAAGCAGCGCCTCTGCATGCTGCTGCTCCATCCAGTGCAGCAGTGTAACACCCCTGATTTTTAAGACATTTAAAACTTATAAAATACAGGTATTATCTCATTAAATCGCAAAACATAATACAAGTGTACGGGGTGCTATGCCACACCTGAGCTGGAGAACCCAGGTGCACAGGCTAACTAACTAATATCCTCAATAATGTAAATGCATAATATGGCACGCAGGCCGAAAGGGAGCTAACTACTTCTACGTTCCGAGTACTAGCGCTCTCCAGTGACTTATTCTTCTGTGCCTGAAAGCCAAATATATCTGTTCAGCGAGAGATGCTGGTAACCCACTCCAACGCGTTGAAATACAATACATATAGAGATATATATATAGATATACGAAAAGTCATTTCGAAGCATGAAGATATATCCTAAGAGACTCTAGCTTTCAAATCAGGGAACCGACTCGACAAATAGGGGTACACACAGTCTACAGTCATAACCAAGCATATACAATTCTCACATAGGAAACAGTCATAGATAAGCACAACCAATAATCACAATTAAGCATTACTAGCAAGAGCTCTATGGTCACGTTTCCATAACAGTCATATCATCAATCCCTTGCATCTCATCGTATAGCACACTTTGTTGGCGCCACAGGACCAATCGCATGCCCATACATGAGGGTCAGCGCATATAGCTCTGACACGGCCCCGCAGCACCCTGCCCCGTCTCACACTACGGAGGGGTCGATCGCAACCGATCGATGAGCCGCAGCTCATCATAATGTTTGATCGCAACCAAACAGTGGACCGCAGCCCAAGAGAGTGTGATATCTGACTGTAGCCAGGAATTCCCATCTGACTACAGCCAGCCTCTGAACCGCAGCTCAGGAAAGATGTCACCTGATTGCAGCCAGGAATTCCCATCTGACTACAACCAGCTTCTGGACCGCAGCCCAGGATACCGTCATCCGACTACAGCCAGGAATTCCCATCTGACCATAGCCGGCTTCTGAACCGCAGCTCAGGATAACCAATCCGATCGCAACCGAATTGGGGTAACACGCACACATAACACATAGCAAGCACATGCAACCCACATTACACATTAGGAAGGGGGATAAAGCGTATAACAACCTTATGCGTGATCCATCACGTACTAAGAATAGTCCTAAGGGGTTCATACTTCTTCCACCTAAGTCAACAGGATACCAATTCAACTAGCATGCAATATAATAGACTCATAAACCTACGAACGGTACCCGAAATATCAAACTAGACATAGGCACGACAAACGGGGTCCGTTGGGACACCACGGGGATTGGGGAAACATCAAACGGGGAAGCCGGGGTCCCGAGGGGGAACAAATTCCAGCGGGTAGCCGGTGGGTGGGGGTCCACCCGCCGGCTGCCCGCCGGCCAACACTGTTCCGGGCAGCGGGTGCCCGACGGGCAGCTGCCCGCCCGCCGGCTGCTCGCTGCCAGGACTGCCCGAAGTTGCCACGGGTAGGTGGCGGGTCCCCTACCCCCACCTACCCCCCACTGACTCTTTTCATCACTTTTCGCCCCGGGAACCGATGTGGAACCCGAAACCATGCTTAGACACTTTTCAACGTAATTAACGACAACACGTAGACAATTAACGGATCAAATACGATAAACGAACGGCACATAACCTATCATGCTTTTCTAATCATAATCAACACCCAAACATGCGATTTCCCCACCCGATAATCCAAGAATAATATCATACGATACAACCTAGGGTTCTAATCACTTTTATATCAACAAGAATACAATTCGTCTCCTAATTGCAAGATTCGGTAGGAACAACACATAATCATCAAGGATACAATAAATCATCAAAAACATCATAATCATCAAGAACAACACATAATCATCAAGGATCCCGAATTAATCATCAAGAATATCATCATTATCAAGAAACTCCCAATTATCAAGATTCCCCATGGAATCATCAAATCAACATCAATAATAATCATCATAATTTCGCCATTCACAATAATATGGGGGAAACCATAAGGGGGAATCATAGCTATGAAAATAGGTTTTGTTGAGACATGCGTTACCTCTTAGCCTTAATTAATTCCTTGGCTATGAAGGATCTTTCTTTAAGCTTTCTTGCTTTCTTGATTTCTTCTAAGGGAATTCTTGGAGCTCTCTTGGAGTGATGGGGCGTCTAGGCGTGTGGGAGGGGGTTTTAGGTGCTCCCTAAGTTCCCTATTTATAGATCCAAGGGTTTATTTAGAGTTTATTCCTATTGGGTTTAGGGGTTGGGTTTATATAATTGGGCCCATGGGCTATGGTGGTCTTTTTCCTTAATTAACCATTATAATTTATTCTTTCTCCTGGGTTATTAATTAATTAATTAATTAATCAGTTGGTTTTAGGGTCCGTAACACGGGGTGTTACACTCTCCCCCCCTTAACAGAAAGCTTCGTCCCCGAAGCTTGGCCCTGGGTGACAAAAAGAAAGGAAAGTTTTCCCTTAGTTACCTGGAGTGAACAGCTCGGGGTACCGCTCCTTCATTGTGTCTTTAAGTTCCCATGTGGCTTCCTCGGTCCCGTGGTTGGTCCAGAGAACCTTTACCATTTCCACGACTCGGTTCCGGGTTTTTCTTGTTTTGGTGTCCAGGATTCTTACGGGTTTCTCTTCGTATACTAGGGACTCGTCGAGGTCCACGGTCTCGTGTTGGAGTACGTGGCTTGGATCGTGTATGTATTTCTTTAGCTGAGATACGTGGAACACGTTGTGTACTCGTTCTAGCTCGGCGGGTAAGGCGAGACGGTAGGCCAAGTCTCCGATTCTCTCCACGATTTCGTACGGGCCGATGAACCGGGGGCTGAGTTTTCCTTTCCTCCCGAACCTCATCACCCCTCGAGTGGGCGAGATCCTTAGCCAGATCTTGTCCCCGAGGCTGAATTCGGCTCGCTTCCTTTTTAGGTCGGCGTACGACTTCTGGCGGTCTTGGGCGGCCTTCATCCTTTCCTGGATGCGTTTGACCTTAGCTATGGTGTCTTGTAGGTATTGGGGGCCCAGTGTTACTGGGTTGACCATATCTTCCCAGCATAATGGGGTTCTACATCTCTGACCATACAGTGCTTCATATGGTGCCATGCGAATGCTCGCGTGGTAGCTGTTGTTGTACGAGAACTCGATGAGGTCTAGGTGTTCTTCCCACGTTCCTCGGAAGTCGAGCGCGCAGGCTCTTAGCATGTCTTCGAGGGTTTGGATGGTTCTTTCGGTTTGGCCGTCTGTGGTGGGGTGAAAGGCCGTGCTTAGCTTCAGTCGCGTCCCCAACGCCGCTTGTAGTGATTTCCAGAATTGCGAGAGGAACTTGGAATCTCGGTCGGACACAATGTTTCGGGGAACTCCGTGGTATTTCACTACCCGGTTTACGTAAGCTTGGGCTAGTT